AAGGTAGGTACGTGGGGGGGGGGCACCATATATATATATATACATATGAATACATATATATATAGAGTCCCAGTTTCCATTCTATGTTCGTAACATGCCTATATAGAAGCCCCGGGGCTCGTTTCCTGGGATTGCCTGACCTTAAACCCTAAACCCTAAAGGCGTGGGCAGGAATCGCAAGTGGGAGTGTTATTGGCTTGGCTCTGCTGTTTCCCATCGCCTCTGCGATCGAAGAAACAGGTGGTCAGGGGGTTAGGGTTTGGGATTTTGAGTTCTTCTGGTATCTTGGGATCATGGAAACCATTACTAGGAATCTGTGCGCGGTGTTTTTGGGGATTCTGGAGGTGTTCTCGCTTGCATTGTCCTTTCCCAGTTCCCTGCCAGCAAGGAAGAAATTTGCACCGCATAAATGATGTTCCTTAGATCGTGTGAAGAATGCGTTGGATACTGCCGCACCCAGTAGCAATTAATCAATATTGGAAATATAGCTCGCCTAAGAAAAGGAACATACAAAGAGCCCGTGATGTCGCTTGTGTTGTGGACAATGTGGGTCGGGGCAGTACTCAAGAAGAAACCTGTTGTTTCAGTTCAAGGTTACTTCCTATTTCGCTACTCACGAGTCTCTAGCCCCGTCCCCGGGCACAACGGTACTCTGCTGGCGCTTCCTTCCACAGACAAGCAACTCTGCCATTTCTACGCTGCAGTTTTTTTTGCGGTAGCACGGGGGTTTTGGGGTCTACAGTCTGCTTTACAGGATAGTCCTGCCCTGCTATTACACACCCTTCCTTTTCAGATTTTCTTTGTGGCCCAAATATGTAAGTGTGCCTGTGAACTGTGAACCACGAGGTGGTAGGAGTTGATGAGAGACCCTCATAATCCCCGCATGTGATTCAGGTCCTCAAGAATAGAGTGCCCCTTAAGTAGATAGAATATGGTTTTGGGTATATTATAATGAGATTCCCATATTACCCTGTATTCTATCTACTTAAGGGGAACTATAACCCCAATATATACCTCATTATAATATGGTGAATTCCATTTTCTTTTCCATTAACCTATAACAACCCCCAATAATATATCTATACCTTATAGTCTATCTACTTAGTGGGCATTATAGTCCATGTTGAAAACCCCACCATGAGCACTTCAGGCTTTCGAACTGGACCTTAGACCCTTCAACCATTTGGGATTCCCTGATACTCCTATCGTAGGTACCTAACGATGAACCCTTAGTGTGTGTCCTAAGTGCCACGTAGCTAAAATATCAGGACCCGCCACTCGCAATTGAGAAAAGGGCTCCAGGACAAATTAGAGACCTTATATAGAGCCTCGAAACCCGGCCAAAGCGATAAAAGCAAAAAAGAAATAAATCCAGGAGCACCAAATGATTACTGACCAGGGGCAGAAGGATACGCAAATGTACCCATTTGACTGAGTTGGAAGCATTGGGCTATGAGATTATACCAATTCAGCCAAGCAGAGCCTGAAGGGTTGAGGTAGGTAGGAATTATTTTGCAACCCGGTAACATCCTGTGGTTCTCGATTTTCTCATTTTCATTATTATCATTTTTTGAAGTGTTATCATTGTCACTCCTGCTATTACGATTAGTATATTGGATAATCCTGGTGTTTCGAACTTTTCCTAGCTAGTCCGCATCTGACAAGTTGCGAGGTGTTCTGGACACAGCCATAGGCGTCATGCTCGGAAGCCCTCAGTCTTTCTACGTGGCCGATCCCTCAGCTTTGGTTTAGGGTTTAGGGGTTTGGGGTTTAGGGTTTAGGTTGGGTCATTCCCCCTCCCAGTAACTTTCCTTAAAGGGGCCTTATTAAGGGGGTTCTTAGAACTCCTATAACCCATTGTGGTAACAGTTACTGTAAGGGGGAATGAGCCCAGGTTTTGGGGCATGACCAGGCGTGGACACAGCAGGCCTGCAGCAAAAAGGCTTTAGGGTAGAATGTTGATCTCCCCTCAGCTTTGGATTCAGGAAATTACAGGAAGTTTCCGCATCCGCTTCGACCTTTACATTCAATCTGCTAAGCTTCAGGCTCTAAAGTCTAGCCCCGAAACCTCTCAAGCTTAGGCCCTAAGCCAGCAGCTGCACAGCAACTACAGCAGCAACTGCAACAGCGACTGCGCCAACGCCAACCCTAAACCCTAAACCCGCCAGGCCTTCTTCCGAATGCTGGTTCCCGTCGCCTTTCTGTCTGCCGGCGCCCTATTTGCGCTCGTCATGCCTGCTGCTCTGGGGTTTGGGAGTTTCATGTTTTGCTTGTGGGACGATACGCGAAGAAGGGGACAAAATTCTCTGACAAAAGCGCCTTGATACCAAATAGAATTGAATCCCAGCGCCCTGGGCTAGATGCTTGACCAAGCTGGCTGAAATGAGGTCGATCATTCTTTATTGATCAGCAGTTTCCATGTGATTGCTGCGACTACTAAACTACTATGATGGCCTTTGCCTTCTCCACTACTTCTATCACTCGATCTGCAATTATATTTGCAAACGGTCTTGTAACATGGCCACGGGCACCGCCGTTGTTACTGCTCACAAATTGCTGCTCATGGTTTTGTGTTTACAGCTGTTTCTTTCTGCTGCTTCGTTATTACATGTATGGAGACTACTGGGTGTGTGTGTGTGTATATGTGTCAAAATTGCGCTACTGCCCCCATAATAGGGGACCACTGTTTTGACAGCTGTGTCAAAATCATGCAACCAGGTTTAGGGTTTAGGGCGATGTGGCAGTGCCTCATATTCCCCTGACAGTGAAATTTGCAAGGACAGTTCATCATCCCTAATGGTGCTGCCAGGTTTCCTACCTCTGCCATACGCTAGCTAGATCCAGCATTTTCTGCTTCAATCGTGAGTGACCCTACGCCCTAGACCCCTAACCCTAGACCTTAGGTGGACCCCCCACCCAGTAATAGTCACTATAAGGCATAATAGGGATTACATTAGGGTCCTCTTATATTCTTATTATACCACTACTACAGGGTGGAGGGTCCTCCTAACCCAGACCGGAGTCCTGCAACACATGCCTGTAGTTCCCGTTTGTGGAGCACTGAATCCAATTCCTTCCGCGGTTGAGGGGACTGGGGTTACCACGGGATGTTGGGTTCATTTGCAAGAAAACTTGAAATTTATCAAACAAAGAAGAATCAAATGGAAAAGAAGATGGAAACAGCGTTTATGTTGTTTTGGGGTTGGATATTGGCCCCGCCCAGTAACAGCTGCTAAGAGTTCAGTTGTAGTTAACGCTTTGCTCTCGCGGGTCCTAAAGTATGGTAAGAAGTGGAGGCAATGTCACAGCCTTTGCGGGATTGGGATTGCCCTGTATTAGCTCAGCTCTTCTTGCGCGACGCTCACGATGTTCTGTTGTCCTAGTCACAATAGCTTCCGTTTCGTCTTGGTATCAGACCACTCAGCTTACCATCGCCAAGGCCTTCCTTAGCAACACGGCCATCGTCACAATGATGATTCCTTTGATTGTGTCCTGGGCACGGACGCTGGACGTAAGTCCGGGGAAGCTCCTGATGCTACTGGGACTCTACCTCGGTATCTTGAGAAGGTAGCATTATATGAGGGTTTCCCAAAATTAAGGGTACCATTTTGGGGGTCCCCATGATAAGGATTATAGTATATTGGGGTCCCCCTATTTAGGGAAACTACCATATGTTGGCACAAACGTAAATGTTGACTTAGGATCACAACGCTACGAAGATGGTGCTTGGGCTACGTAAACATCATCCATGGAGTTTATGCAGGGCTTTACTGAGTCTCCTTCAGGATCTAGATGAATTTTATGGGGTCGCGCGTTATAGGTGGTCTGTTTGCTTTTCCTTGGCCCTGCGCTCCATTCAAAGCTTCTGTCTTTCCGGCAACGCATTCCAGCAGTAATCAACCCCGCAACCCTTTAAACCCCTCAACAACCTACATTCCGTTTAAGTGTTCATGTCCCTTCCCATTTGATTCTCCAATGCTCGAACTGAATAGGCTAAAACTTTAACCCTGAACCCTTAACCCTACACTAGGGATCCTGGTCAACGCTTGGTATACACATCCTTGGGCGCCAGGAGAGGTGCTCCCAAATTGGGGTTTGCCAAAGTCAGGGGTCTCTGTTGGGGAGTCTCAACAACTAGGGTTATAGCATCTACTTGCGGAAACTACCAAATGCTACTGTGTGTGCACGAAAAACCAGGATGCTTTGAGGGAATTATCCATGTATGTGAGCTATAGTCTAAACT